GACATGGAACTTGGTGTTTTGAATGGTACCAGTTATGTCAACCGAAAGGGCGATCTCCCCTTTCGTTACTTCGTCGGCCATGTTGAAGCCGTGGAGGACCTGGGAGGCGGGTACGATCTGATCGAGCAACCCAAGTTATTAGACTACCTTTGACCTGATTACGTTGGCCGAGCTGCCTGGATCTACGAGCACACATTTAATTCGATTGTTACTCAAAAGAAATGAAATTACCACTGCGTCGTTGTGTGATTATGTCAAGGTCTCGATATCCTCCTCGCTGAATGCAAGGGTGTCTTTGGTCATGCGATCTCGGATCGGCCCTTCTATTACAACGAATATTTTCATCCGTTTGATCACGGGTCCTTGGGGAATGTTGGTCCCCCCGATAATCATATGAATGACATGCCGATGAATCTTTTTTTTTTTACCCAGGTTGGATTTTTCCGAATTTCCCGCTGAATCTCTCGACATGCTCCATTGTTAATATGAGGACCGGCGTTAACATATTGGGCGCCGCACGAGGTCGTACCCTTGGGAATCGACTCTGGTGTGCTCTCAGGGTTTTTCGATGGCACACCCACACCTGGAATAACCATACCACCCTTTTCATAGTTTTTAGACTATTATTTTCAGGTATATTTATTGGTTTAGGCATTTTGACCTGAAATCAAAGATCTTGGACAAGAAAAAGTGTGAAAGATAACTTGCGTTATGTGGTAAAACCAGCAAGAAAATAATCACTATTATTTTTAGCCCCAAACTGTTTACCGTGAAAATGGTAATAACAATTAAATTTGATTTTGTGGTTCTAAAAATACGTGATCTATTTTTATGTAGTTGTTTGGGCAATAGATGCTAAGTGAGATACTTGGAATCAAGATAAGAGCTTAAAAACAAGATATTAACCAAATCGAGTCGTTGTCAATCGTGGCCTCGTGGTTGAGTCTGATGTTCACCGAGGGCGGTCGATGGAGACTAATAGTTATAATAAAATCAATGACGGCTTTTTATGGCCAATGATAAGCAATAAATGAAGAACAACAAAGAGAACACAATGGATATGAACAATAAATGCAAGTAAAGAGGTCAGGGGAATCTGTTAGAGAACAGAGAGAATGTTCTTGTGTATTTAGTATTGAGCAAGAGATGACTACAAAATGACAAGGATACCCTTTATATATGAGGGGAAAATCCAAACATAGTACAAATACCTTTATTAGAAAGATATGGAGATGGGACAACTAGTTGATGTCATGATTCGGGTCTGAACTTAGCTCATTAGACTTTGTCAGCTCTAGCTATGCGCCTTGGGAACTCCCCACTTTTTCATCATAGTCATTGGTCTGCACTGGCCCGAGGTCGAGCATCGATAGCCCTCGAGTGTGAACCTCAACCGTAGTCTCGAACCTGTGACATATGCTTACGAGGCATCACAACGAAGGAAAATTGGACCCTCCGATTTTACCGTATACACTCTGAATATGTCAAAGGAACTTATCATATGATTACGTGCAACAACCCAAATTTCCCTTTTGGAATTAATGCATTCTATTTTCTCAATCACATGCTAGCTATTTTTATAAAAAGATTCATTTAATATGAATACCTTTGGATGCTTTATTACCTTGGCTTTATTATTGTGTGCTATATATATCCTTTTCTTTTTATATAAAAAAAAATGTAACACATTATAAGTTATAACATTAATGTACTATCTATTTAGGTTACTAACCAATCATCTCTTGAGAAATACAAATGAAAAAGGACATATGCAAGTAAAAATAGAAATTCATAACAAATTATACCAAAAATTCCTTGTAAATTTTGTAAGATAGTTTAGTCAAAATTATTCTCAATATATGAAATAAGACATCAAAATTGACGTGGAGGGAGTGTAACCGTGTATGAAATAATTACTATCAAACGAGAAAAGATGACAGCATCAATAATTTCACAACAAAAGCGGAAAAGATGCCTTTAAAGATTTGTAAAAAAAAAAAAAAAAAAAGGTCTTTTTGTGCAAATTAACGCATCAGACGTCATTAGCAATATTAGAAAAATTCCAAAATAAACCACAATGATCATTATCATGATAAATTAATATGACAAACTCATATTCTGTTTTCCTGCATTTCTTTGCAGAAACATTCAAAAAGAACCTCAAGAAAGTTGGACAAAGGATTGACCCAATGCAGAAAAATGTCCCTTTTAACCCAACTGTTACTCGGAATTCATTTGCCCGACTAATTTAAATTTACAGAATTTTTTTGCCCGACTAAATAGTTTGGTATTATAATATACATAGTATAGTCGGACCCCTCCCTCCAAAAAAATAATAGTCGGCAAATATATATTATACATAATATACGTATTTTATACATAATCATCTTTTGCAGAGGCGAATCCAATATTTAAATTTTATGGGTTCAATTTTTAAGATTTTTAGTATTGAACCCGTTATATTTCTTAAGTCATGGGTTCATGTCTACTACTTATTACAATTTCAGTGAAATTTTACGCATAAATTTATGATCCGCACCGAAAGTTGTGGATTCAATTAAACCCGTACCCGCTATGATACATCCGCCTCTGATCTTTTTGTATATATGACTAGTGACTGTAATTATTTTTGCGGATCAATCAAATATGTTAAAGGTAATTTAAATTTGCACAACATAAGAAAAGACCCATTATATAAAAACCATCTTTATTATAATTCTTTTTATTTTCAAAGCTCTGACCGATAACTCTGATTGAGAATGAAAAGATCTTATACATTCAATTTGACAGATGTCATGGTCAAAGAAAACGAACATTGCTTTGATCATTTTGTTTTGGCCACTATGAGCTAGAAAGTAATTCTATTTCTTTCTTATATTTACTTTTATCCAACCAAAATGAAAGTGACAGAAAGGGGAAAATGGCTATTAACAGTTTGGTAACTTCTTTACTTTTTTCTTCAACAGAAATGGGCCATCACAGATTTTGGACATTTTACACAAAGACATGACATTTTTGTGAAAGAAGTAGTATCAGCATCATGTGATACTTTAAAAGGACTAAAATAATGAAAAAGTTGATCGGTTTTAATCAGTGGTACGTGATATAATTTCAAGAAATTTGATAATAGGAACCTAGAAACTTTTTATACATGAAGTAGGAATGATTTTAAGTTATAAAGTGTAAAGAATTCTTACACAAGCAGTTCAATTTAACTGATTATACCATGTTATTAGCTCCCTCCGTTCTAATTTAGATATAGACATCTTTTGTGTCTACTCTAAAAAGAATGAACAACTCTCTAAGTTTAAAAATAATTTGACTTAAATTTTCTATTTTACCGTTAATTATAAGTGTTTATAGTCACACAAATATTATTACATGTTTCACACAAGTTTTAAAACTCTTACAGCCACACAAATGTTTTGATACGTGTAAAACCATAAATTTTGGAAGTTTTCTTTTATTTCTAAAGTTCTATTGTAAATCAAACTAGGTCATATAAAATAAAATGAAAGAAATATATTAGTTACTCCATTTTCCACACTACTGTATTATGTTGACATGAAAAATTATTTGTTGTGTTGTAATTTAACTTAACATAAAAATTATCGGTGCAATTTAATCTCAAAAAGGAATGGAAGGCCTAGGATTGGAAAGTTAGATGTGCTTTTCCCATAATTGAAGCCATCTAAGTACGATTGGCCCTCATATATTTTTAATTCAAGCTAATTTAATTTGGCTAAGCCTTTTCACTGATAAGATAAATAATTTTAGAACGTTCAAAAAATAAAAAATAAAAATTCTTCTAAATCAAGTATATACATCAGAAAATTAATTTCCAGAATAATAGAACACCAATTTCAAGTCACAGTTGCCTAACTCCACCAAAATTAGAAGTGCAGTTTCCAAGTTTTAGTTTTAGACTTCGGATATCAGCAATTGGTAATATCAACGATTCTACATATACATCATGTAAGGATTACCCTTTGCTTTATTGGTGAATAAGGAAACTAGCTAAAGCTTAATGGTGAATAATAATGTTTAACATTCCTCCACATTTTCTTATTACGGCATATAGTTTATCTTGCGATAGTAGATTAGTACTTTAAATAATACTTATTATAAAAATTTACATATAATTAACTTATAAATAATGATAGTGTAAATATTTTTTATACTATCATACATTAACTTAATATATGTATTTTTGTTGCTTGTAATCTTCATTCTTTTCCTTACCATCCAAGATATCCGCACGCAGAGGTTCGTGTCGTTTTCACATTCCTTAGGAATTTCTAGAAAGAAATGCTCTAAGTTTTGTGTAATTTACTATCATTTGGCTCCCCATTCAGTAATTTTCTGAAGTTCTATATTACTCTATGTTTTATTCATTGCTAGTATAAGTAACATTTCACAAATAGCGGGTAACTTTCATATCAAGTTCGATTTGGTAATAAAGCCGGATCAGCTAGCCTTTTGGCAAGGGGTTCATCCGAACTTAATATTTTCGATGTCGCGGAGCACATGTATTATAATGTATGTAGATTTATTAAAATTTCAATAAATATTAGATTGGAAGTTATAATTTTAAAAATATAATGAGTTCAATACTAAGACCTTAAAAATCGAAGTTATCAAGTTAAAATTCTAAATCTGTCTCTATATGATAGCCTAAATATGCTAATCAACTGCAACAACAGATTGAATTGCAGTTACTGTAGTTTTTACACTGAAGGGGAATCTTGGAGTAACGGTAAAGTTGTCTTCGTGTGACTTGTATAGGTCACGGTTTCGAACCGTAGAAGCAGCCACTAATGAAACATTAGGGTAGGACGTCTATATCACACCCCTGAGGTGCGACCCTTCCCCGAATCCTGCGTGAATACGAAATGCTTTGTGCACTGAACTGTTTTTTTTTTTTTAATTATAGTTCTTACACTGGCAGTGTATATGACTTAAAACATTACTCTAGCTCACTCTCACCCAAAACACACCTATATAACGCACAATACACATGCACATACACATATACACCAAGACAGATTTAGAGAGAGAGAGAGAATGCGAATGATATATGTGTGTGAAGAAGAAGAAAAAGAAGTAGGAAGAAAGAAAGCATCAGGGACATGTCCATATTGTGGAGGGACAGTGGAGGCAGTAGACATTGAAGGCAAAGGGAAGCTTTTCTGTTTGCCCATTTGCTTGAGGTTCAAACGCAAATATCTCTGTTCTTCTTGTTCTAGGCGTCTTGTTTTGTACCCTTCCTAAGCAACAAAAACATATATTTATATTTTTCTCTTAATTAATTAAGGCTGGAATGTGTAGGTTTCTCTTTTATCTTAATTCTTAGCTGTGTCTACACAGCTACGAAATTTTCAGCAGGTTTTTATTATTGCATTTACATTTTATGCACTGATAGTATAATAATTTTTTTATATTATCAGGTTAAATTATCTGCATGAACATTATTTATAATAAGTTATGTATTTGGTAATCCAGAAATAAAGTAACTTACCTGTTATAATATGTTAAATTATACTAATTATGTAAAAGTTCAGATTTGAGAAAATTCAGCTTATTTTCATTGGTAGCAGAGTATTTGTTATCTGATCCTATCTTTGTTTATGGAGATGACATCTAAGTAAATTTTATCTGTTAGAATATATTAAAATCAAAAGAAAAAAATGATAAAATTTCCATGAAAATGTACAATTTAGTTAAAATGTAGAATCATATGGGTTTTATTGATTTTTTAACTATCAATGATTCTCTATTTTCTTTAGACTTAAAGTCGCGTGAAATTTGTACTCAACTTACAGTAAATTTTGTTGGAGTGAAGAAACGAGGTTTGAAAGAACTGTGGAAACAAAAGTGGACGGATATAACACATTTCCTTATAATATGAGAAAAATCAATTAATAAGCTTAAAATACATTGATTTTGGATTGGCCAATACAATCATCACGCGAAATAATTAAGAGGAATTTTATAATCCAGAAATAAAATAACTTAGCTGATGTTAAATTATAAAGTAATTTTATAATCCATCTGTAGCTATTTCAATTGTTACTATGTCACGACCCCGGTTCGCCCTCCGTGAACCATCGTGACGACACCTAGTCTCTACGACTAGGTAAGCCTAAAATTTGCGGAAGATAACCAAAACTTGCGGAAGTAAAACAATTTAAAAACAGAAATAAGGCAATAACAGTGTTAAATGTGCCGCTCGGCATACACCATATTTATATAGATCTCAAAACCAATATCTAAGTCCAAGACCCGGAAACCCACAGATCACAAGCTAAGAAAAAGAAATACTACATAACTCTAACTCCGGAATTTGTCAACAGAAAGTAAAGAAGGGCTAAATACTAAAAGGCAGGAATAGAAAGGGATTCCTCAGTCTGCGGACGCGACAGATATACCTCTAAGTCTCTAAGTAGTTGCCTCCTTCAAAGATGGTAAACTTGAGTAAAAGTACCTAGATCTGCACATAAAAAACATGCGCAGAAGAGGCATGAGTACACTACAGCGGTACTCAGTAAGTGCCAAGCCTAACCTCGGTTGGATAGTGACGAAGAAGGTCAGGGCCCTACTGAGGTTAAATAAAATATAAGTGTTAATAGTGTGAGCACGTGATTTTTGTTTCGCGCGACAATCGCTCCAAAAGAAATAAACAGTAACAACAATTGGTCCTGCTATACAATTTTTGGATTTTTACATGGTACTTTGTTAATTATTTACGATTTTGCCCATTTTATTTTATTAAAACAAAATACAAAAAAATGTATGTGTCATGCGTAATTTGAACCGTAATCCGGTTGTTAAAATAAAAAATCATAAATAGGCATCTTTGTTCGTGATTTTTGTTTTGTTTGATTTTACCTGTTTTAAATATTTTGATATATGTGTGCAAATAATTGTATTAAGTGTTTATTTAATTTTAATTTGATTTACTTAGGTTTTGTTATAAAATAAAAAATAATAATAAAAGAGAGAGTGCAAAATTGGGTTTGAAAATTAGTTTGGGCTGATTTTCATTTTAAATTCAAAGCCCAAACAAATTTAGCCCAAACCCCATGTAAACCCGGTCCAGATCAGCTGACCTCAGGAGGCGTTCCAAACGACGCCGTTTTGATCCAGTCTGATCTGGGCCGTTGATCTCAGATTGATCAACGGCCAAGATCTCTCACCCCAAACCCACTAACAGACCCGACCCGTCTCACCCGGACCGACCCCAACCCTTTACCCTTGAAACAACGCGGTTCCCTGTTAGTCGAAGGATCCTGGCCCTTCATCACATCTCATCCAACGGCCAGGATCCACCTACCCACCAACTATATAAACTCATAAC